CTGGAGCAGGGTTGGTACAAAACTCTGCAGGGCTCTGGCCCTCCAGGAGTTGAGTTTGACACCCCTGCTCTAGATGCTTTCAGCCTTTGAGCAAGCTTTTCTGATGAAGTTTTCAGACCCCTGATCTGCTGAAAAACGATTTCGCAAACAATCAGGCCCTGAAATATGTGTTATTGTGAAGATATCTGAGAGAATTATTCAGACACTAAACACAATATAAATATTAAACAAGTACAGGCACAATTCTAGTTTTATGGTAAAAACCGTTTTGGAGCACATACAGACTAGAGATTCCAAGATTTTGTTCTGTTAAAGATGAAAATATAGTATCAACTATATCAGAGAGTCTTTCCCTAAATGGCACATAAAACTGAATGAACAGAGGTTGGTTACTTTACATTTTTCTAAGTGGGTGGTTCTTGGCCAAAATAAGCTGCAAAGTGGACCAGACATAATGCCAATAGTCTGTGTGAGACCACACTGGAATAGGCAATGGTTAAGTGTGTGTTACTGTAAGTAGTCTAAGTGACTAGTTACTTTAAGTACCATTACATTGTTAGATGTGGGACTTATGTTAGGCGCTTTTGTGTTAGCATTTTCTTTACTATTGCTGAAGTATTTACCTCTTGTCACTGTTTTTATTCAGGGCACATGGTCTTTGTAATTAAATACTTGTTTAAGTAAGTGCCACAATCACTTGGGTAAAAAAGAAATGATTTAGTTTTAATCCTCACTTTCATACCCTAGTAAAAAAAGTAATATATTTAAAATACATTTATTTAATACAAAGTATAGTTTGAATCTATTAAAATATTTACTGACATATCACCTGGGACTTACTGATATAAAAAGTATAATTAAACTTTTTTTGGAGTACTACTTGTGCACAATGTACATTTCTTAATATTAAGCCTGAAATGTGTTTTAATGTCACTATTGATGAGGATTGTATGATCATTGAATAATATCAGTTTTTAAATGCAAGATATTTAAAGTGCACCTGAAGTATACTTGCAATAGTTCCACTTTAGCACAATCAAATATACTTCAGTATATCTTTAGTTGAACTCAAGCAGTACTTCTGCACAATTAAAGTGCATTAAACACAAACTTAGTTGTTCCAATTTAGCAGACTTTAAGTATACCAGTTTAGTATACCAAAAGTACAATTGCAGGGTATTTTCATTAAGTACATAAATATGCAAATGTATTTGTAGGAGACTTGTGTGAGCATGAAATAAATGTATTTCAAATACAGTATTTTTCACTAGGGTACTGTACCTTGTCTCCACAGTTTTCACAGTTCATCAAACACCAGGTTTTAGAAGGTAAAGGACGTCTTAAACCAGCTCAGGATCCGGATAGTGTCATCGGGTATGTTCAAGAACCAGGATAGGAACGCTGATGGTCTGATCACTCAGGATGAGCTAAAACTAAAAGTGGATGAAGATGTAGAGAAAACACGCCATGAAGAACTGTGAAACATGTTCACAAAAGCATGTGAATGTGCATGCATTCAGCAGAGAACAAAGCAACAGACTCATAATCCTGAGGCTGAAAACCGGACCAACATGCTTCCCAGAATTAAAAGTTTGTACATTTGATGGTCACATATTTTTATACTCCTAAAAATGTTTGATCTCAATGGCACAAAATGCATTTGTGCCATTGAATAAAATGTTCTAAATGAATGTATTGGCAAACATTTTATTTTGAAATATGATGACTACCCTTACAAACAAGAAATGTATTCAAGTGTGCTATTAGTTTACTTCTTTTAGACTGAAAATAAGGGAAAAAAACTTGTAATTAATAATTTGGTCAAGATATACTTAAGAAAATATAATAATTTAATAGAATTAAGTATAATTATTCTAAGATTAAAAAAAAAAAAAAAGTCTCCAATGCTGAATTTACTACTGTATTACGTACTATATTATGTAATATATGTGCATTTTCAGCAGCCATTATGCCAGTCTTCAGTGTCACATGATCCTTAAGAACAGGGCTGCGTTCAGCCCCAACAAAAACGGTGCAAAACGTTTTTTAAATGGAAACGGTGGTGCGTTGAACACTCTGTTCTGATGATGCAAGAGTTGCAACTATGGCAGCTGAGAAGGCCATTCTTTGTGTTCTTTTTGAAGAATTTTCGGAGCCTGATGAAATCGGTATAAATACGTGTTTAATACTGCAAAATATGCTCGATGTAACAGTCTCTGCCCTTGCCCTCCAGAATAAAAGAGAACATCCCAATCGAGTGAAGGGATTTGTGGAAACTGTGGTTCCTAATATTGTGATCCAACATTTGCCTCGCATTTCAGGATTAAAAGACAAACATTTCAGGTGAAGGATCATACACTTCTTACCTCCGAGACTGTGTTATGATCTATATGACCTTATTATTTTTATTGTGAGTATTAGGCTTATCATTATTGCTGATCACTGTTGTTGTGCTATTATATTGTAATATTTACCATTATATAATCAGAGGGGTATAGAAAAGTTTATTAAAGTGTCACTCCATAATACAATAGCAAAATATATAAATATGTATAGTATTTTTATGTTACATTAATCAGTATTTAGCACACAATAGAAGACATTGCAATTACTAAATGATATTTAGACAGACTTAAAGAAGTTCCAGATCTATACTTGTGCTCTTATTATTTTAGTTATTTTGCCTTTAATGTAAATAAACTTGTGCAAACAATATACTTGCTCTTGTGGATTTATTTTGATGTTAATTACATTGTGGGAGCTGTCTCTTTAATACCGCGTGATTTATATACATGTTGCTGCTGATTGGGCTGACATTTTTGACACACCCACCAAACAAGAGAAAACGCATCTCAAACCCCGTTGCACACCGTTTCCAGGAAACCGGAAACCGTAGCAAAACGGTGCACACCGGTTTGAACTTGAACTTGCCCCAGGGTTCCTCAAATCTTGTCCTGGATGGCTAGCGCCCTGCCGAGTTTAGCTCCAACCCGACTCCAAACTCACCTGAGCAAGCTAATCAGGGTCTTCAGGATCATTAGAAAATCAAAGTTGGGTGAGTTTTATCAGGGTTTGAGCTAAGCTCTGCAGGGCAGCGGCCCTCCAGGACCGGATTTGAGGAACCCTGCTTCATTCTAATATTCTAATTATACTAATAAGTCAGGGGTGGCCAACATCAGTCCTGTAGAGCCACAGTCCTGTTTTGCTCCAACTTTGATAAAAACTCACCTGCTTCTAACTTTGTGGTAACCCTTAGACCTTGATTAGCTTGTTCATGTGTGTTTGATTAGGGTTGGAACGAAACTCTGCAGGACTCTGGCTCTCCAGGACCGGCGTTGGGTACGCCTGTATTAAGTGCAAAAATAGTATATAAATAGTGAACTAAAAGTATGATGTTAAGTTCACTTGAAAACCAGGTATACATGCAGTATGAAAACTAACAAGTTTTCCTGTAGAATAGATCACAGTATAGTTGCAGTATAAATGAAAAACTCAAAATGTACTACTGTTACGAAGCAGCCAATTTAGTCCCAATAAGTACTAAAATAATACAGTTTAAGTTATCTACAAATACATTCATTTTAAAACATTTGCTACATGGGGTATAATGGGTAAATATTCTTGAACTCGGTTTAGAATGAAGTATACTTTTTTTCGGTAAGGGTAATCTTTTTTGTTCATTCACCCTTTTATAATGCTCTTCTGTGATAATTTTCTGGCTGTATAAGTATTTTTAGGGTGAATGCAGATGAAATTAGCATATTTTACAACTTGATGGATGTAGCCGTGTTTAATTTATGCTACTATTTCTGCCTTATCTTTGCATTGGTTTCTATTGGACTTTATGTGCATATATGTGTGTCCACCAGTCACCAAAACTCTGTACAATTGAAATGGCAAAAGGTTTGCTCAATATTTTTATTTTTATTTTCATTTGACCATATTATTTCCTATAGACACGTGTTGATTATACCATAAAGAGCAAGATCTCATGACAATTTGTACACACTGTCAAGTACAACAATTGGGGAATAATCACATTGTAGCGTCTGGACCAATCAAACACACAATATATATTTTGTTAGCTATATTTAACAAATACTCTGTAACACCCCTCAGTTAACAAGCCATATGAGGACCTATGGACCCTTCCCCCGAAATGCGTCTTAACACCTCAGAAAGACACCAGGCCCCCTTTTCACCATGGCAACGCTGATATCACTGGTTTTATTGCCCAAAGGAATGCGGGTAGAGAAAATCAGTACATTTTCCATAGGAAGAGACACAATGCACAGTAAAAATGGACATAGGAAAACCTTTCTTTGAATGAACACACATATCCTTCAGGTCATTGTGTATGTTGTCTTTTAAACTGTATACTGTTTATGCAGGCTTGTGATGGAACCACTCGTTCCTGTCATCTTACCTATATGTAATCCTACCATGTTTAGTATCTATGAATTCGTCTTCTGATGATCTAAACGAGAGTGTATATTATATGTTGGTACATAGGCAATATATTAGTGTCCTGAGAATCTTTAGTAATTTCGATTCAAGTTCCATATGCAAATTACCATGCTTCCACACAAAGGGTCATAAAACTCCCCAGTATTTCCACACTCCCGCTTGGGATTTCAGCCTTTCTCATTGGACAAGCCCATCTTGAGAGGCGTGAATCTTCTCAGACCTTAAAGGCCTCACATCAGTGACCCGCCCCAAGTCTGCGGCTTGGTTGGATTCTGAGAAGATGAAAATGTGAAATAACTAGTTATGATTAATTATTAATATTTCCCCGTGAGCTGATTCGCTACAACATTCTATGTGAAAATGCCTTGATCGATCTAAAATTAACACTGTAGTACAATGTTATACTGCATCAATTTTCAGTAAGCATACGTTTTAGTAAACAATAGTAATGGCACTCCAGGAAGGGTATCAACTAGGCAGAACAACAACTCTTGGACAATATCAGATTTTTTATAAATATTTATTGCAAATCACTGAGATCCACAACATGTGCATACTTTATAACACATGCAAAGAACTATATTCGCCCTTAAAAGACTTTACAACAATGAGAGCGGGACAAGGTAACATCCCAGCCTTGCTACTCTTATTGTCAGACACTATCGCCATCGACACACACATACATACATACATACATACATACACACACACTCATTTCCTCTGTGCAAGAAGGAAAGAAACTGATATAGATCTTAAACACTATTAAACCACATCTCAACATGAGAGACACAAAACTTACATTTCCCATTGAGTAAATACAATATCTAAGATTCTACAGAGTCTCCAATATGCAGGAAAATGTTTGAAAAAGGCCTAATAATGTATGTTCAATGTATGTCTCACAGGGTTTTTCCCCATATGAAATGACTATGGAATTCTACACAAGTCAAGACGAGAGCTACAGATACATTGTCAAAGCAATTTCTATCTTGCATTTAGTAGAGATTTTAACATCGAAGCATAACATTAGTTCATCTAAGATGACATACTTTAAGACTTTGGTATGGACTGTAGTAACGGTTAAATGTTCTTCAGGCGAACATTGCAAAATGTTTTCTGGTCTTGATGGTACCAATGATTGCTTGACAAATTTTCACCCAAGTGAAATGCACTGAGCTTTCTTGTAATAAAAGACATCATTGTAAAAGACAGGGAAAAAAGACTGAGGAGATAAAAAGAGGGAATGTAGATGAAAGATAGAAAAAACTATTTCCAATAAAAAAATGATTATAAATAGCGTTATATATGTAACAAAGACAAGGATGCAGTGTGGGTACCATCACTAGGTGCCTTATTAAAATTGGAATGGACAACTACAGTTGACTGACGGGAAATGTTAACATAATTCTTGACAGACATTGCATGACAGAGCACAAGCTGATGACGTTGCTAAAAACATATGAGTGAAAATAATTAAATCAAGGAAGCTGAGAGATCTCAAACTGGCATAGACCACAAAACCAATGACAAATTGTTTTTAAGTAACAAAATCCTGCCGTTGACACTGAGGTAATGAATCCTTGACTATATTCTGAACATCTATGGTTTTGCAATTTTATTAGGTGTGGCCTTCATGCGTCAATAACTGATGCCATAACTGTCTTTATTCCCTGTGCTTTCAAGTTGAAAAAGAACAAATATAATCAATTTAAACTATAAGAATAAAGATTAAGACAAGGGCTAATGCTGAAATTAAGTGCTTGTAGTTGCGAAGAATTCATTTTTGCACATATAAACAAAAACTGTGAAAGAATTGCATTGACAAACAAGTGCAAGACAAATAAAATCATCACAATTAAGACCAGAAACAAGTAATTTACAAGTGAAGGGAATAAAGATGCAATGGTTCTTTTTGTAGTTATTAATGGTTTGTTCAAAACGTGCGAGCGGTTTTGAACAGCTGATTCATTACAGCTGGGAAAAATGGTGTCTCTCCCTGCAAAACAAACAACCTAAAAACCCACAAATGTAGCAGGACAACCATCACCATGACTCAAGATAAATGAACAATGTGCAGCATTCTGCAAATTGCCATCAGTGGGAATAAGGCAAATTCATGCGAGGCCATGAAACAATGTTTCATGTGTACAGATATTTACAAACATTTCTTTTTTACATATTTATATGATTCCATTATACAGTCACATTGAAAATACTCTCTTTACTAGCTTCAGCCATTTCATTCACTCTCCCAGTGATGAAATGTCACAAATAAACAATACACATTTTAATAAGAATGGGATCATGGGAATGTTCAAGACTATATTATCATGATTTTTGCAGCAGTTGTTTGCTATTGAGCAACAAGGGCTCTCAGCATTCAATCTGTGATTGTAACTGCCTGCGTAGAGTTAACGTGCGACGATGTAACTGTTGCATTTGCTGCATACGATCCCTCTGGCGTGCCAAATTTTGTGGCATTGGGTAACGCTGACAGCCGTATAGAAAGCGGTAGGGAATGCGAGCGTGACATGCTGTGGCACGACAGCGTGGCTGAGGCATGGGTGGCAGAAGCATCCAGCGCTTGCGCTCAGCACAATAACGGTACGCCTCCTTGCGATACTGCTTATCCACATCGTCACTGTTCTTCCAGCCACCAATCACAAACACATCATCACCAAGATAGCAGATGGCAGCACCCTCAATACTAGTAACTTCTGGGGGAAGGCTCTCAAGAATATCATCAGATATCCTTGCGCTGATCTTTTGACGAGCTACATCATCACGTGCGTTGGTGTAACTCTTGGGACAGCAAGAAGCCGTGTGGTAGAAGTTAGTCGACGCTACAGCCATTTGGAACAAGCAGTAGTTGTCAATAAGCGGTAAGGAATCGACTTCTTGCCACTGGCGACTGTCAGTGTCGTAGCGAGTAGTCACCGTCTTCAACCCATCATCGCTGTCAGTATCTATGGGAGTTCTCGCGGTGACATAAACGTATCGATCTTCGACACTAATAGCCTTGACGTCTCTCAAAATCTTAGGAGCAGATTCTAGGTTGTGCCACTTGTCTTGGTCAGGTTCATAGACACTCACATCCTTAAAGCCAGGGCTGAAGTTGCCATGACCGCCAATACTATACAGAATATTTTTGATGCAGGTGAGGCCAAAGGAATGCTTGCGTGTGGTGAGGTTGCTCACTTGTTCCCAGGTGTTGCGATTTGGATTGTAGCGCTCCACTGTCTTGGCAAATCCTGGTTCCATGGACCCAGCCACGTATACATGGGTATCAGTGGCCGCAATAGCGTGACCATCCAGATGGTTATGGATGTGTGGCAAATTGACCCAACGGTCTTCGTATCCAAAGTACCCTACGCACTCACTCAGGTAGTCACCTCCTTCAGAGACCCCGCCGACCACCATGATGACATCCATGTTCTGGCCAAATCTTGGTTGGAATGTGGCCATGTATGATGCCCAGAACTCTGTATCTGCTGATTTGAGGTTCTCAAAGCGGATCGCATGACCCTCCACAGCCTCTGACACAAGCTGTAGGCAGGCTGCATTCTGCGCGACCAAAGGCTCATTCTTCACAACTCTTGTAAGATACGTTGGCTTTATCTGTGGCAGCCTGAGAAGACGAAAAAGCTCCTCAAAATACTTCACCCGTTCTTCTGAGTTCTTCTGAACCCATTTGACTACTGCATCAAACAAAACCTCCTCAGAGTCAACTGTAATCTCTGCGTCTGACAGCCAGTCTCTGACCAGATGGAATGGAAGCGTGTAAAATTCCTCATCCTGGATGACTTTATGGAAATTGCGACGAATCATGTCAGCAGCACGTAAGGCCAGCTGGTCCAAAGTGTACATGTGCGCAAGGCTATGGACAGCCACACAGTTGCCAAGGCTGAGCTTCCTCTTGAGAAATTCTCCACAAAAATCCTTCAACTGCACGAGCAAGAACCTGTGAGTGGAAAAGAAAATACATTGTTTTAGGCCTTACAAAAATGAACAACAGAACAGGCAAGATATATGATGTAGGTGCTCTTTTGTTTTATTTGTTCTAGTAGGACAGTATGGCATATAACAAGTGGCGAGTGTCTTATCAATAGAGATTTTGCTATATTGTGTATGTCACATTAAGAAAATATATACACGCAGTGCAGGACTGTTAAAAGTTACTTACACTTCAAAGCGATAAGAAGCATGCATGAATGAGAACAAAGTGCAGGACGTGCTTGATGTTAAAAAGTTATTAACCACAATAAGCCATGAAAAGAACTCTGACTGAATCACAGTGATCCTGAATGCAGTTCTCTTTTGCAACATTTTGCACTTGAACAATCAGATATCACACACAGAATAATAATCAGAGTATCTTCCATCCAATTGTTTTTTAATTTAATATTGAAATCTGAAAAATGAAAAATGGCACATTCACGTTTTTTCAATTGTTCAAACCAAACGAAAAATCAAGAATCCGACTTCATTTTTTGTTTTTACGTTCAGGAATAGAAAATGAATAAACAACTTGAATTTTTGATCTCTACTTGTGGGCGGGAATGAAACGCCCCTCTCCGCTGATTGGTCAAACAAGCATTGCAACATTAGTCCTAAAAAAAATAAAAAATAATAATAGTCCTCTGCTTCTATGGATTCTTAATATGTTTATTTCTACTACAATTTATCTCTTTCTCTTCATCAAACAGCCTGATTAATAAATGGCTTGACACAAGCCGTACCGAGGCAGAGCCTTTTGGTCCTTTGGCACACCTATCAAAATCTGTTGGCAAAGCTGCGCGACGCACTGCAGCGCGGGGAGAATGTATTGTAGTGAAGCACAGACCACTATCAATGTATGTGATCTTTTGTTTTAGACAATACGCTGCGTTTTGGACAATGGAGGAACTTAAATAATATGACAGATATGAAAAGAAATGACTTTGTATAATTTTCCTTCACAGCACATCTATTATTTTTCTATTTTGAGTTTTATTCATAGAGCACTTTATACAAATTTAGCAAATCATATGAAGAGTTAATTTGCAAAAACCGATAACTCCATTTTATTTTATTTTTTCAGAAATCACGTTTTTTTTATTGCGCATTCCAAGTAATATCAATCAAACTGCAGTTGGGTTGTTTTGATTAAGTAATAATAACTTAAACAAATACAAGTTATTTACAAAATTAAAGTTAATTGAAAGTATGTTTTTTTTTTACACATTAAAAGTTTGTTTTTGGCAAAAGCAGGTAACTCCACATTTCATGTTTTAGAGTTTATAAAAACACTCGTTTAATCTTTGTAATCTCCTCAGATGACAATGTAGATGCCTGACAAACGTTGTTGTTGTTGTGATCATAAACTGTATGGATGTGATTGCATGCAATACACGGAGTTTTTCCCTCACCATTGTAACGCGCTGCTTTTGCAAGGTTCCGTGAAAACATCTCAGCCTTTATTTTCCTTTTTCGCCCTGAAGAAGATATCACAGGTTCATCAAGTTCGTCGAAATTATCCATCCTCGATCACTTTTAGTCAGCTTTGACGAAACTCCTCTCAGCTAGCACGTCTTTTCAAAGTGAAAGTAGCCTTGTCACCAGTGGCGGCTGGTCAATAGGGGGCGCTGGGGCGCCGCCCCCCCTTCAAGTTAGCCTCCTTTAATATGTTAACAATAAGTTCAATATATATCGCAAATATTAACTAAATAAAATAATTTAGTCATAGTATTCTACTGTTAATCATATTATAATTTACTGAAAATCCAAAAATCAAAACTATATTTCTTTCATATGTGTTTGCGGGGCGCCGGACTAATGAACGTCTATGTAGGTACACAAACATTTGAAAAGCATGTGATTTGAGGCTAAGCTCTAATTGGCTTGTTTCAAATTGTCCTTATTTGAACCCACCCACTTTTGTTGTTAGAGCGAATCAATATTGTTTTTATATGTTTGGCCTCATGTGATTGGACCGTTCTCAACGACTCTCATTCCGCTCAGCAGCAGCCAGCAGCAGCTCGTCAGTTGACAGACAGGTACTGATTAATGTGGAAGCAAGCGCAATATCTCGAGATGAAAGAAAATTCGGTTTTATCTTTACAAAAATACCCGTTCACAAGGCGTTCGGATGAAGAAAAAAAAAGGGATAAAGGAGTTTGGACCATATCGACCGTACTTGCAAATTCACCAGCAATCAAGTGATCGTGGTCACGCCTACACTCGGGGCTTTTCCAGCACTTCTTATGGCAAACGGAGTTGGCTAGCTGGATGTGATGCAAGTCATGCCTTTTATTGTTTTCCGTGTTTGCTGTTTCAAAGTCATGGCACCGAAACGTTGTGGACAACAACAGGGGTTCGCGACTTAAAACATCTCTCTGAAAAGTGCAAGCGGCATGAAAGTAGCCGAAGCCATCTTGACAACGCTATGAGGCTCCAGTTTTTTGGGAAGCTTAGCATTGCTGAACAGCTAGATGAAGGCTACAGGATTGGTATTAGAAGGCACAATGAAAAGGTCACAAAAAACAGACATATCCTGTCTAGAATAATAGACTGTGTGAAATTTTGTGGCGTGTTTGAGCTGGCTTTGCGTGGCCATGACGAGAGCGAGACGTCAGACAATCCCGGGATATTCCGTGGCCTGGTCGATTTTGTTGCTTCTCTTGATGGAGTTTTGAAAGAGCACCTCGAGAATGCCATGGTGTTTAAGGGAACTTCGAAAACCGTGCAGAACGAGCTGTTGGACTGTATGTTGTCTGTTGTGAGGGAGCACATAATCCAAGAAGCACAGAGCAGTGACTTTCTCTCAATCCAGGCCGATGAGACCACCGATATTGCCACACAGTGTTAACTTGTGCTTGTGCTGCGGTACATTGACGCCAAAAGCAACGTAGATGACACGTAGATGACACCCCCCTCCCCTCTTTTGCCCCACGCACCACTGACTGACTC